GAACGGCTTTGAATCTCTATAAAGAATTTATTATGTGCAGCAATGAATCATAATTCACATGGACAACAAACCGAAACGTGGAAGCTTGTAAGGAGCATGGGTCTAGACGAAAAATAAAATGAGGGCATGAGGATAATTTCTACATTTCTATTCGCGACGGATCAAGGTGATTACGGAGAAATGATTGGCGCGGCGGCCAAATCGTTTCCAGCCGTTAAAGCAACGCAAGCGCATCTGCATCATCCTCGTTCCGTGCTCCAGTCCGGGTGTTTTTCATCAGTCGAAGCTTAGCCATTTCAAAAACAGGTTTGAGCCGCCGCAGGCTCATCATCTGAGATGTAGAATTCCTCCTTCGGTAAGGTGGATATGTACCGGTGAAGCTGTGACACTTCTACCGCTCTCCAAACGCGCGGTCGAGTGTGGTGTACAGATTGTTCGGCTCTTCGCCTAGCTTCGCTTACAATCATTAAGTGTTTCAATACGATCAAATACATTATTCCAACCTTGGTCTTTCCAGGTGTTCAAGTTTCTACTTGTCTTGAAAAAGGCACTTTGGTTCAGACCTGGAGTAACGATTTGGCCCAAACCTAGGTAATGAAACAGGGCAGAGGGGCGGATGAGGTGTAATAGCAACTGGCCTGATAAACTAGGGGTCAGGTAGCGAGGAACGAATAGTGGATCGACTCTTCCTATGACGAACACATTTGCGACTCACGTCGAACTCGTTCGATCTTTTGAAAACCGCTCAAATTCATACTTATGAGAATCACTTACACTGCAGAACACCGTCCCACACAAGACCAAATCTCTAATCAGAACCCTACTGAATTTGAAAATAATCAAGGAATAATAATAATTGTGCAAACGACTCACCTATTAAGCAGCGTATGACAAACTTGGCATACATTTGCGGGCCTTCGATTTGGCCCGCTTGGAACCGTATGTTGAACACAGGTTGAACAGAAGATTTTACAACAGTGCAGACACCTGAAGAATATGATATCTATCCAGTCATATATAGGGTGTAAAAATCAAAATGGGGGCAATTAAAATTACGAAGGTTTTAAATTTCGCTGAATAACTTTTTCTTTCCTTTCATTTTCTACTACTGAAACACACTGTATTCACGAGCATAGGGCAGCGCCTTATGGCACGTAGACATTGGGCTACGACCCCTTCGGCTGTTGTAGGCCACATCCACGTCTGCCACTTTCTTGAATCGATGCTTCTTAGTTCACCCGAAGTATTCTCCACGTAATTCTTGATTTGTCCATTGAGAACGGCTTGTCCTGAGAGCGGAATGGATCGACTGATGATGCTAAACACAGTGAACGGATCACAACCACCGACAGACGTTCAAGTGATAATATGCAGTGTTGGAATGTATAGAAACATCGATATGGCGTCGTGGGTGTTCCAACGATTCCGTGGAAGGTCATTTGCGCGGTGTGCTATTCATACATAACCTTATCCTACAGGTCTTATGTTTCAGTGAAAACCTACAACTACAATAAGAAAGAAAAACTGTTTCGAGTTCTACTTGAAACGCGAGGTTTCTGACACCTTTTCAAAGCAACACACACAAGAAGTTTCGAATTTTTGGACTTTTTCCACTCCAAGTTCATCCTCAACTACATCAAAGCAACACGCTTTAATCTAAGCACTTAAAAAGGAAAGTGAAGGTCTTGGTACTTCAAAACAATAAAGAATGAGTAAGAGCTAGAAAAATTACAACAGTACCTAGGTCGAGGCTTGACTTTCAGCACGGATGTACCACAACCTGAACAATTTTCCACATCTTCTTCCCATTGCCACCGAACTTCCTAAATGACAAATTAAAACAACGAAAAAAGAGCGACTACAGGGCGTTGACTCCAGAAAGACATGCCTAAATCACATCCAGAATTTCCTTACTTGTTCTGACTGTCTAATCTTCTCAAGTTGAATTTGCAAACTTTGTGATAACTGTACAAAGTCCTTCTGGACGGCTTCAGAGGTATCTAGTTCACTTTGTAAGGAGGGAACGAACTTTATATAGTTCTGGCGGGTCTACGCCAGCACGCTCACTTGACCTGAAAATTCCAATCCTAACAGTACGCACCATTAAAAGGTTCAGCACTTGCATTACAAATCAAAACTTCAGTAAATAGTACCGAAATAAATCCCTTCCCAATTTCTGGAGTGAACACTTTACTTCTAAAAAATAGAGACTAACCTGCTTCACTTGTGCCTCTAGTTCAGCGTATGTCTGAAGATCCCTGATTTGTCAGTGAATGAGGAGTTCATTTAACAGACTACGCACAGCAGAAGAAAGCTAAACGTAAAGGGTAATCTTGCACTTGAAAACACGATAATATGAAAATTATCAGGCACCGTAATTTAAAGAACGAAATGAAAAAATCACTTTACTAGCTGCAATCCCTAATGTGATTTGGAGATATTCATGCGCGCGAGGAGCGAAGGTCTCGGTTCCAAAAGAAGCTTGGCCCCAATCTCCTCTCTGTCTTTGCCGTGGATCCGACGAATTGAGCTTCAGCCAGATTTATAAATTATTTCTTAATAAATATTTACATCTCTGCAATGGTTATGTTACACAACAAACAATCCATCTTGTCGTCTATACATATATCTAAGGTACGAAGATGTATAGGCTCGCTGATCGTCACGAAAACGTCCTCTCCTTTCCTTTGAGTGTCCTTGAACATGTCGTTGACAATGATCGTGACATCCCCTTCTATTCTTGCTGTTATATGGCATCCACTACACTTGAGATCGAAGTTGAAAAGCCTCCAAAAAATTATTGTGTCGTAGATGGTCCCGCACGTTTTCCAAGCACCTACCGAGTACAGCTGCCTTTACGCAACAAAAGACCGCCATCTTTGGTCGGCGTAGGTTGCTCTAATTTGGCAACGAAGTGAGGTTGTAAGGATATTGACCTCAGACAGAATCTCTTGAAGTATATGATTAAATAGGGTTAATGAATCCATAAGAAAGATCGCTCGCTGTTAAGTAACTCAAAGACAAACTGCACCCTAACCTCTGTGGCCCTAGTGCTTGTGATGTGGTCAACGGGTCCCAAGCCGTGGTGGCATGCCACTTTCTCCACATTTCCAAAGAAGCATAGAACCGGGCCGGATGGATGTAATGCCTCGGTGCCGCTTCCGGGCTCCACCCGCGCTGCTACATGGCCGGCCTTACTCCCAACCATAGCCAGAAGCGCTACGTCTCCTCACTTCCGGTTATCTTCTACCTGTTCGATACCGACGCAAGTGCTGCACCTTAAAGGTGAGTGGTACGATAAATCGACAAGACGTATAGGATAAATACGTGCAAGTGCGTATAGGTTGAATGCCGTCCAAAATGCTCGTTGAAGGCTGCGCTGAGAAAACATTTTTTAGCAAGTTTTTGAATGCCTATTTTCACTTTTTTCGTCATTTTCTCTTCTATATAGCACCCTTGCTACTATCTCTGGACAAGTCCAAATTCGTGCCTTATGCTTTTAAGGATGTGCCTTATGCTTTTGAGTATAGCACGGGTGAAATCCAGGAAACGACACCTGATTATCAAAGGACCGTCCCCGGAGGTGAGTGCACAGCTTGTCTCTAACATAGCTAAAACTGAATACCAGTTTGGTGACTTACCGTCCCCTCTGTATCTTTGGTGAATCCTGCACAGAAGTTGGTGGATACGGGCAACTCCAAGATGGGTCGAGCAGGTGTGTATAAAAAAGAAGTTTGTTCCAGAACCTTAGAATATGCCAAATGATGTGGTATCACAGCG